GGAAAATGATATGGTGCTTCCTTAGAAAGCTAGAAATAGAAATACCATATGATCCAGCAATCCCACTCCTAGGAATATATCCTAGAGAAATAAGAGCTGTCACTCGAATAGACATATGCACACCTATGTTCATGACAGCATTGTTCACAATAGCAAAAAGATGGAAACAACCTAGATGCTCATCAACAGATGAATGGGTAAACAAACTATGGTAGATACACACAACAATGCAATGAGATAGAACAATGATGAATCTGTGAAGCATCTCATAACATGGATGAAACTGGAGTACATTATGTTGAGTGAAATAAGTCAATCACAAAAGGACAAATATTGTATGAGACCTCTATTATAAAAACTCATGAAAAAGTTTACCCACAAAAAGTCACAGTCTTCGTTGGCTATGAGGGATGGGAGGGGTGGGGGGAAATACTAAATAGGCAATAGGTAAGTGGTATCTTTTGTGAAGGGTGAGACAGTACACAATACTGGCGAAACCAGCACAATTTGTACAAGGAAATGTCATGGAAGCTCCATAGACGCATCGAAACTCCCTGAGGAACTGAATTGCTGGGCGGAGGGCTTTGGGGACCATGGTCTCAAGGACCATGTAGCTCTATTGGCATAAAACAGTTTATAAAGACAATGTTCTACATTTTACCTTGGTGAGTAGCGTCTGGGGTCTTAAAAGCCTGTGAGCGGCCATCTAAGATACTCCACTGGTCTCACCCCTTCGGGAGCAAGAGAGAATGAAGGGAAGAGGATACAAGGAAAAGATTAGTCCTAAGGACTAATGAACCACAGCTACCATGGCCTCCACCAGACTGAGTCCAGTACAGCTAGATGGTGCCCGGCTACCACTACTGACCACTCTGACCGGGATCACAACAGAGGGTTCTGGACAGAGCTGGAGAAGGATGTAGAACAAAATTATAACACACACAACAAAAAGACCAGATTTACTGGCCTGACAGAGACTGGAGAAACCCCGAGAGTGTGGCCCCCAGACATCCTTTTAGCCCAGTGGTGAAGTCACTTTGAGGTTCACCGTTCAGCTGGGGATTGGACAGCACTATAAAATAAAACGGGACTAATGAGGCACAGCAGTCTAGTGACAAGGACTAGAAGGCAGAAGGGGACAGGAAAGCTGGTGTTAGGGAACCCATGGTTGAGTAAGGACAGTGTTGACATGTAGTGGGGTTGTTAACTAACTGTTTAATGAGAAACGATTTTGTTCTGTAAACCTTCATCTAAAGTGAGAATAGCAGCACAACTGGAAGAACGTAATTGATGTCACTGAATTGTGCATGTAGAAAATTTTGAAATGGTGTATCTTTGACTACGTATATTTTCACCCAAAAAAAAAAAAAAATGTCAAGAAGGGAGATGGTTGTCATGTCGTGGGGTTGTTAACCAATGTCATAAAACAATATGTGTACTGACTGTTTAATGAGAAACTATTTGTTCTGTAAACCGTCACCTAAAGTACAATTAAAAAAAAAAAAAGCTATAGGAAGAATTAAGAGAGTGTGGTGTTTTAGAAGTCCAGCAAAATATTTGATGGAAGGAATGGTTAGCAATGACTAAGAGAAAAAATTCCCATCCGGATGAATAACAAACCAATAGAAAGCAATATAATTGACTTATTTACACAGAGGAAGCGAGAGGTGTTATTGGAAACATTTCCTGGAGAAGCAGAGGAAATTAACATAGGCATTAGTTTCTTTTAATTGAGGTGATGTTATTTACAGAGTAGTAGGAACAGTTATAGGAACATGTTATAAATAACTTCAATAAAGCTTTTACTTCCAAATGTAGAAATCCTCGATTAAATTGAATATGTCTCATCATTTTTGGCTCTACACTTATCCAAGACTATCATCTATAGCTGCATAAGTTTCGGGGAACTTTTACCTGACCAGAGAAACATACTCAAAGAAATCAGGATCTCTAAACACCCATCCTTGGATGATTAGTCCCCTCTGAAACAGCTATTATTCCTATGTTTTTTGGGTTTTTTTTTTTTTTTCAGAATAAACTGGGTTAATTGTATATTGGAAAGTCCTCGTTTTTAGAATAATAGAGAAGCAGGTTCCTAGAGAACCACAGAGCAAAATAACAGGCATTAGTCTGCAAAAGTGCAAAAAAGCTCTGATCTGTTTCTATCTAAAGTATTGATAATGTTAAAGAAATTTTTCTACCTTCAATCACTCAAATTTAAACAAAGAGGCTAAAATAACATCATAAAGTGAATAAGCTCAAGATAAAGTGAAGTCTGAGATTTTCTCCTATTCTAATTTAAGCTGAAATTAAAATAGAATTAAAAATATACTTTATTGATTTATAATTTACCTAAGCTTATGTTGTTTTTAATTTTAATTTTATTTTATTTTGAACATTTTATTGTGGTTTGGGTAGAAGTTTACAGAGCAAATTAGTTTACCATTCAACAGTTTATACACATTTTGTTTTGTAACGTTAGTTGCAATCTCCTCAATGTGACAGCACATTATCCCCTGCCTCCCTGGGTTCCCCATTTCCATTCACCCGTTGTTCCTGCCCTTTCCTGCCTTCTGTACTCTTTTTGGGCTAATGCGCCCTTTTGGTCTTGTATGGTTAATTGTTCTGAGGAGCACACTCCTCTAAGCTTACATTTTATCTATTGGATCCATAAATTTCCTATGAGAAATATTTATTCACTTTATGAGTTATTTATTACCAACTGAGTCTAATTACATTTGACGTCACACAAAAATATCACCCAGAAATGGTATTTGAATATCAAGTTTACTCCTGGAAATTAGCTCAGTTTTTATTCTCATCTCTCTTCTTAATGGAAGGAAATGAAATCAACCTATTCTCTGTGACTGGCAAATTGAAATCACCTCTGATTTGATGATGAGTTTTTACAGGTGCACCTTTGTAGTGCTATCTACTCAAATAGTACATGCCACAGTAATGATTACAGTCACATGACTCACGGATGAAGATCAAAGACCACAGCCATCAGTATGGATTACACATCAACATAAAGAAAACAAAAATCCTCACAACTGGACCAATAAGCAACATCATGATAAACAGAGAAAAGATTGAAATTGTCAAGGATTTCGTTTTACTTGGATCCACAATCAACACCCATGGAAGCAGCAGTCAAGAAATCAAATGACATATTGCCTTGGGCTAATCTGCAGCAAAAAACCTTTAAAGTACTGAAAAGCAAAGATGTCACTTTGAGGACTAAGGTGAGCCTGGCCCAAGCCATGGTGTTTTCAATCACCTCATCTGCATGCAAAAGCTAGGCAATGAATAAGGAATACCAAGGAAGAATTGATGTCTTTGAATTATGGTGTTGGTGAAGAATATTGAATATACCATGGACTGTCAACAGAACAAACAAATCTGTCTTGGAAGAAGTACAGCCAGATTGCTCCTTAGAAGCGAGGATTGTGAGACTTCGTCTCACATACTTTGGACATGTGTATCAGGAGGAACAAGTCCCTGGAGAAGGACATCATCCTTGGTAAAGCAGAAGGTCAGCAAAAAAGAGGAAGACCCTCAATGAGATGTATTGACACAGTGGCTGCAACAGTGGGCTCAAACATAGCAACGATCGTGAGGACAGCGCAGGACCGGCAGTGTGTCATTCTGTTGTACATAGGGTCAATATGAGTCAGAACTGACTCCACAGCACCTAACAACTACAATAAAGCTCATATTGTACAGGAATTTTTAAGTATATTTAACAAAGTTCTGCATGGAAGATGACAAAGAGGGACTTGGTGAAAGGTAGTATTTACCACTCAAATTATTCATTAGGCTTTAAAGAGACAGAAAATGATCACTCGAATTCGCTGTCCATTCATATGCCCAAAACCAAATCCATTGCCGTTGACTAGATTCTGACTCATAGCTGTCAAAATATCGGTAAACCTTAAAACCTGTTCTTTTTGCATCCAAGGGAGATTAAATCATGTACACAGGAATACTCCATACATTCAACCTTTCAATTGCATGTAAAAGCCCCTCTGGGAGAAGGCATCAGCTGTAGTCTGAGTAAAGTTTTTAGTGTTTTACAATGAAAAATACGTAATTCCCCTTAATCATTTGCATACTTAAATTTGCACAAAACTGGGATAGCAAGAAAATAAGGCTTGATTGACAATGGCTCGTGGAAGTTCTAAATGGTGTAATAGTCCAGATCATATATTATTAAAATTCCAAAGAATTTATTATCAAAACTAAACAGAAAACTTCAGCTTTATTTAAAGTAATAAATTTCACAAGCTATTAAGGGTAAATGGCAATGTAAGTTTACACACAGAACTGAAGGCAGAGTAGGAGCAGAGAACCCAAGGAGGAACGTCAATTATGTTCATACAGCTTCCTCTTGATTTAAACACTCTTGACACACTGAATGAAATCCTCATATGGGAAGTTAACAACACCTTGCTGACCAGTATCCATCTTCGAAAGCTGTCTGTGCGAGCCCTCAGTTTGACACAGCAGGCAGTGCAGTCATCAAAGTGATCTTTTCACTGGTGCTGTGCCTCTACAATTGAATTCATAGGCCTGAGGACTCAACCTACATCCCATAGTCTTCAGGGCCTTCTGTAATTCTTGAGGACCCACTATTCCACTTCTGTCACTGTTAAAACTGATGAAGTGCTGTCTCCACCCATTCAGTACAGCCCAGAGTTCTTTAAATTCATTGAAACCCATTGTGCCAGACATGTCTCTATCCAGCATTGAAATGATAAGCAGACAAGTCTCCAGGTTAAAAGGTTTGTATCCTCTGGCATTCCCTGACTGTGTTAGACATCTCTGCAACTCATCAGCATCTATTTGCATATCCTGCCTAGCTACAGGAGAAAAGTAACCATGCAGTGGATCCTGAGTTTGTCTGAGAAACGCAGGCCCTCAGGAAGCCCCTCCATACCCACCTGGGTAGAAGCCACTACTGGCGTTAGAGTGCCCCAGGTAGGCCATGGTGCAGACCTCATGTCTCTGTTTCTTAAGGTAGAGATGGCAATATTCAACACAGGAGTGATAGCAAAGTCGACAATGAATAAATACTTATCCAGTGATGTTGCAGGGAAAGGCCACATATAGAGAAACATATGTGGCATAAAAGGCAAAATCAGCACCACAGTGATGTGAGTTAATAACATGAGAAATGCTATGGATAAGTTGCCCGAAGAACGTTTCCAAATGGTGACCAAAATGAAGATATAGAACATAATTAAAAAGAAGAAGGTGGCCATGGATATAAACCTTCCGTTAGCAATGATTACAAACTCTATCTTGTAAGTGTCTACACAAGCAAGTTTCATGACCTGAGAAAAATCACAATAAAAACTGTCTACTTTATTAGGGCCACAAAAAGACAAGTTTATGACAAAAACAAACTGAGATACAGCATGGATTATCCCCAGGATCCAGGCAGCCACTATGAAGGAAACACACATTCTGGGGCTCATGATGGTCAGGTAGTGCATAGGCTTACAGATTGCAGTACATCTGTCATATGCCATGGCTATGAGCAGCACCATCTCAACTCTACCCATGACATGAATAAAAATGATCTGTATCATGCATTTTGGAAAAGAAATGACTTTATAATCAATGGAAAGGTCAGAGATCATTTTGGGGACTGTAGTAGAGGAAAGACCCAGATCAAGAAGAGAGATATTGGCCAGTAGGAAGTGCATGGGGGAGTGTAAATGAGAGTCAGTAATTACTGTGAACATAACGAAGAGGTTTCCAGGATAATTCCCACATAGAACACAGTGAAGAACCAAAAGAGGAAAAGCTGCATCTCCCATGAAAATGAAAGTCCAGTCAATATGAATTCAGATACCACAGAGTCATTTCCTTCATCCATTGAGTCAATCAGTAGAGAAGCTGAAGTATCCTGAAGGCAGAAAATAAGCAAGAATTTAGAAATATAGACACTAAACATTGTTTGCTCATCAATGGTTTTATGTGGAATAAGTTACAAGAGATGAAATGTAAGGTTAGAAAACACACACAGAGGGAAGGTGAAAGGAAGATAAGTGAATAGTAGACATGAGATAATCAGAAGGTAGAAAAGAGAGATGAGGAAAGAATACACATGGAAATATGTCAGGTAGTGAGGAGGAATTAGGGGACAAAGAGGCTTATGTCACATAACTTTTCCCTAGCACTGTGCTTCTTTACCATGCTTATTGGTCAGCCATACTTGGAATGTTCATATTGTTAATTATATTTGTCAGCATATACTCTTAGAGCACATACTCTCCAAACATGTTTTACTTCACACCTGAGAAATCTCAGGCATTGATCATACATAGAGTAGGTTTATTATTCTGATATTTTCTAGTACTTACAATTCCAACCAGTCAGATGTTGAAGAATTAAGACTCATTTTAAATCAAGTGAAACTCTATACCCCAAAGAAAGAGTATCAGAAGACTCAGAAAGTGGGCTTTTCAGATCTTTGCTAGGATTGAAAGAGTTTTGGTGCTTTTGAGAGCTCTGTTCTAGCATTAATGACTTTTGCAATTCAAACATGAAACAGAAATAATGGTGTGTTCACTGAAACAAAATATTTAATCATGATTCACTAAGAGCATGTAAAAACTAGTGGCCCCCAGAAATTCATAAAGCTAAAGGTCATGATAACTAGTTTTCAAATATTTGAAGCTTAAGGTGCAAAAGTACTGTTTGAAGATGAGTAAAATTGCTACCACCAACTTTTTAGACAGCATATTTGTTATCAACACTATATGTAAGGAGAAATGTTGAGGAAGTCTATAACATGTATTGAAATCCATTTATGATCCAATCTAAAATGAAAAGTTAGAAGTACATTTAAAACAGTTGTATTTATCTAATAAGCTATATCTGTCTAATTTTTTGCATTATTTATTGATTTTCTGAATTCTTACAATCTGTTAGATATATAAGATATAAGAAAATCAATAAATAATGCATAAAGGAGAAAATTAAGATTCATACAAAAACAATGTGGTCATTATGGATTATGCAAATTTAGATTTGTTGATATGTCTACTATAAATTAATAAGTGACAAAAATTGATTACATAGAAGTATGTCTTATATGATATGCTCCTTATATGTATACACTGTTCTAGATTTGTAAGTATATGCATCAACATCTAAAGAAAATTACTTTAGTTAATTATATCTTAGGTAATTTTAAAATTAAAAAAATTTACTGTCTATATTGGTATGTCAATTATTCTATATTGAACACATATTTTTAATAAAAATGATGAAAAAGAAATGTAACAGAAACAGCAGGAAAGAAAGGGAGTCAAGGAAAGGGAAAAGAATACTGTGTGATTCATAGAGGAGTGGAAAACGCATATAACAGGTAGACAGAGATAGACTATTTCTTTTTGGCACCAGTTCCATAGTTTTATTGTTGTTATGTGCTGTGGAGTTGGTTCTGACTCATAGCCACCCTTTGTAAAACAGAATGAAACACTGATCTAGTGTCCTGTGCTATCCTCACATTCCGTGCTTTGTTTTGAGCCCATTGTTGCAGCAAATGTGTCAATCCATCTCGTTGATGGTCTTCCTCTTTTTTGCTGACCCTTTCCTTTACCAAGCATGATGTCCTTCTCCAGGAACTGGTCGCTCCTGATAACATCTCCAAAGTACGAGAGACGAAGTCTTGTCATCCTCGCTTCTAAGGAGCATTCTGGCTGTACTTCTTCCAAGACAGATTTGTTCTTTCTTCTGGCAGTCCATTCGATATTCTTTACCAACACTGTAATTCAAAGGCATCAATTCTTCCTCATTCATTGTTCAACTTTCACACGCATATGAGGTTATGAAAAATGCCATGGCTTGGGTCAGGCACACCTTAGTCCTCAAGGTGACATCTTCACTTTTTAAACTTTAAAGAGGTCTTTTGCAGCAGATTTTCCCAATGCAATTTGTCATTTGATTTCTTGATTGCCACTTCCATTGATTGTGGATCCAGGTAAAATGGAATCGTTGACAACTTCAATCTTTTCCCCATTCGTTGTGATGATGCTTATTGGTCTAGTTGTGAAGATTTTTATTACCTTTATGTTGAAATGTAATCCATACAGATGGCTGTAGTCTTTGATCTTCATCAGTAAATGCTTCAAGTCTTCTCTTTCGACAAGTAAGGTTGTGTCACCTGCATATTGCTAATGAGTCTTTCTCCATTCCTGATGATGTGTTCTTCCTCATTTAATCCAGCTTCTGGGATTATTTGCTCAAAATAAGATTGAATAAGTATGATGAAAGGATACAACCTTCAAGCATACCTTTCCTGATTTTAAACCAGGCAATATCCCCTTGTTCTGTTGGAATGACTACCTCTTGGTCTATGTACAGGTTCCACATGAGCACAATTAAATGTTCTGGAATTCACATTCTTCGCAAAGTTACCCATAATTTGTTATGATCCACACAGTTGAATGCCTTTACATAGTCAATAAAACACAGGTAAATCATCTGCATGGTATTCTCTGCTTTCAGCCAAGATTCTTCTGACATCAGCAATGACTTCCCACCTTTCAAGTCCTCCTCTGAATCTGGTTTGAATTCTAGCAGTTCCCCATCGAAGCACTGCTGCAACTGTTTTTGGGTTATATTTAGCAAAATTTTACTTGTGTGTGATATTAATGATATTGTTCGATAATTTCCACAATCCATTGCATAACCTCTGTTTGGAATGGGCACAAATATGCATCTCTTCCAGTAGGTTGGTCAGGTAGCTGTTTTCCAAATTTCTTGGCAAAGATGAGTGAGCGCTTCCAGCATTGCATCCGTTTGTTGAAACATATCAGTTGGTATTCTGTCAGTTCCTGGAGCCTTGTTTTTCACTAATGCTTTCAGTGCAGCTTGGACTTCTACCTTCAATACCATCAGTTCTTGATTATATGCTACCTCCTGAAATGGTTCAATGTCGACCATTTCTTCTTGATACAGTGACTCTGTGTATTCCTTCCATCTTCTTTTGATGATTCCTGCATCTTTCAATATTTTGCCTACAGAATATTTCAATATTGCAACTTGGGATATGAATTTGTTCTTCGGTTCTTTCAGCTTGAGAGATACCAAGCATGTTCTTCCCTTTTGGTTTTCTAACTCCACGATGCTGCACATTTCATTATAATACTTTCTTTGTCTTCTCTATCTGCCCTTTGAAGTCTTCCGTTCAGCTCTTTTACTTATTTCTTCCATTCACTTTAGCTACTCCACATTCAAGGGCAACTTTCAGAGTCTCTTCTGATTTCCATTTTGGACTTTCTTTCTTGTCTTTTTAATGACCTCTTACTTTCTTCATGTGTGAAGTCCTTGATGTCATCTCACAACTAGTCTGGTCTTTGGTCATTTGTGTTCGATGCGTCAAATCTATTCTTGAGGTAGTCTCTAAATTCAGGTGAGATATACTCAAGGTTATACTTTGGCTGTCCTGGACTTGTTTTAATTTCCTACAACTTCAACATGAAGTTGCATATGATAATCGATGGTCTGTTCCAAAGTTGGCCCCTGGACTTGTTCTGACACAGATGTAGCTGATTTGATTCCTGTGTATTCCATCTGGTGAGGTCCACGTGTATAGTCACCATTTATGTTGTTGAAAAATGGTATTTGCAATGAATAGATCCTTAGTCTTGCAAAATTCTATTATGTGATCTCCAGGGTCATTTCTATCACCATGGCCATATTTTCCATCTACTGATCCTTCTTCTTTGTTTCCAGCTTTCTCCTTTCAATCACTAGTAATTATGCATCTTGATTTCATGTTTGATCAATTTCAGACTGCAGAAGGTGGTATAAATCTTCCATTTTTTCATCTTTGGCATTAGTGATTGGTTCATAAATTTGAATAATAGTCCTATTAACTGCTCTTCCTTGTAGGCATATTGGATATCATTCTATCACTGACAGCATTGTACTTCAGGATAGATCTTGAAATGTTCTTTTTGACGATGAATGCAACTTTGTTCCTTTTCCATTTGTCATTCCCGGCATAGTAGAGTACATGATTGTCCAAATAAAAATATGACCAGTACCAGTCCATTTCAGCTCACTGATGCCTAGAATATCTATCTTGAAGCATTCCATTTAATTTCTGTCAACTTCCAATTTTTCTAGATTCATACTTGTATTTTTCGAGTTCTGATTACTAAGAGATGATGTTTGCAGCTCTTCCTTCTGTACTTCATCAGCAGATTAAGGTCCCGAAAGCTTAACTCCATCCACTTCATTAAGGTTGACTCTACTTTGAGAAGGCAGCTATTCCCCAGTCATCTTTTGAGTGCCTTCCAAACCGTGGGTCTCATTTTCTGGCACTATTGGACAATGTTCTACTGCTATCAATAATTTTGTCACTGACCAATTTTTTAGAAGTAGACTGCCAGGTCCTTCCTCCTAGTCTGTCTTAGTCTGGAAACTCTTCTGAAACCTGTCCATCTTGGTTGACCCTGTTGGTATTTGAAATACCGGTGGTGTAGCTTCCAACATCACAGCAACACGGAAGCCATCACAGTATGACAAACTGACAGATGAGTGGTGGACCAGGCCTATAGAAACTGGGAAAGATAAGGAATGGATTGTCCCCTAGAGCTTCCAGATGGAATGTAGCCCCGCCAACCCGTTTTGGACTTGCGATTCCAGAAGTGTAAGATAATAAATTTGTGTTGTTCTAAACCATTAATTTTTGTGATAATTTATTATAGCAACAATACAGAGCTAATATACCAGGTATATGCTAAACCTATTAAAGACCACAGTAGATCTCTCACTCCTTGTCTCTCCTTGTTAAATTTCTGGTTATTCTGCCAGTCTGTTTTTTTGTCTCCACCAGGATCACAATCTCAGACTAGCTAT